ATTATATATATATATATATATATATAGCCTTCAAAAATCATCCTAACCATGTTATTATATTAACAAGTGTATAATTTGAAATGTTTATGAAGCTTGTTTAATGTTTTTTTATTAACAATTCCTTGAAATCATAACAAATTTGGTGCCATAAATAGGCTAAAAATATTATGGCAAAAGATGATCCACTCATAATTGAGTGTATACTCTCTATACACAAGATTGCTAAACACATAAGAATAGATGATCAACCTCAATTATAATGGATTATATTTCATAATAAAATTCTAAAAATGTCACATGAATGATTGAATCTTTTTCCTTGAAATCATGACAACTTTGATGCTATAAAGAGGCTAACAATATATGGCAAAGATAATCCACTCATAATTGAGTGTATACTATCTAGTCAACCTCAATTATGATGAGTTGTATTTCGTAAGAAAATTCTAAGAAAGCTACATGAATGATTGAATCATTTCCTTACTTAGATACCTTATTTCAATTATTTCCTTGACTATTGTTAGAATAAATTCCTTGCGGATCGTCATTTGAATTGAATCGAATTGATTTGATTTGATTCCTTAAGAGCTTCATGTCGAGAGCTGTTCGAGGGTTTTCATCGAACACGTCGTGTGCATGACCCGCTTCTCCTGCCTTGCGTTGGAATAGATCCTTCCCCGCCTCGTGCCCTTCGCGCCCACCCTCGATGAGGAACGCGGTACTTCACGCGCTACGGAACACCTTGGCGTGTGTCTCGTCCCAAGATGGCACACGCCACACCGGAATGCCCAAAGATATCCCGTCGCCGTTCGTTCCTCGTGCTCCCAAGTGGCGTGCCATGTCGCTAACTCGTCATTTCACCTTCTGATATCGAGGAAAAGGTCAACTGGATGGAAGCAGCATAAACTCACCTTGCACTTAGCGATCTCTCGCGGGTGCCACCTCTGTTTCAGCGCTATAATTACGCCTCCATGCTTCGAACTGCGATGACAACGCCAAACAATCACCAACCTTGGAGAACAATGGCTTCCCGTTTCCACAACACCGGCGTCCTCCTCCTTCTCTTCCTCCTCTGCAACGCTGTGGCTGCGGCCAACGAGACGGAATCCTCGGCGCCGTCGGAGTGCGACACCAAGTTCCCCGGGGATTGCCACAACAAGGCGGCGGCCCTGCAGCTGAAGATCATCGCCATCGCTGCCATCCTCGTCGCCAGCATGCTCGGCGTCTGCCTCCCCCTCTTCTCCCGCTCTGTGCCCGCGCTCGGGCCCGACCGCGACCTCTTCGTGGTCGTCAAGGCCTTCGCCTCCGGTGTGATCCTCGCCACCGGGTACATGCATGTCCTGCCGGACTCCTTCGACGACCTCGGCTCACCTTGCCTGCCCGAAGACCCATGGTCCAAGTTCCCGTTCACCACCTTCGTCGCCATGCTGTCGGCCATCGGCACGCTGATGTTGGACTCCATGATGCTCACCTCTTACAATAAGAGGAGGCCGAAGGTCAGCAGCGCCACGGTCACCGGCCACGGCCATTGCGCCGTGCCGCAGCTCGATGCGGACGGCAAAGATGGGCGAGAAACTGTGGTGCTCCGAAACCGCATTATAGCACAGGTAAGCCTCCTCGATCGTTCAACCGATCATGATGCGACCGCAACAGTATTTGCTTCAATGGTAAACCATGCAGGTGCTGGAGATGGGCATCATAGTTCACTCTGTGGTGATAGGGCTTTCCATGGGAGCCTCTGAGAACGTCTGCACCATCCGGCCTCTGGTGGCTGCCCTTTGTTTCCACCAACTCTTCGAAGGAATGGGCCTCGGTGGCTGCATTCTTCAGGTACGGATAATAAACTCTCTCCTCATATAAAAAGAATCAAGCGTCTGTCTATCTCTTCGTGCTAGCTTCAAACGCATCCGTGAGCTGGGCTGCTGCAGGCGGAGTACGGGATGAAGATGAGAGGCATCCTGGCCTTCTTCTTCGCGGTGACCACCCCGTTCGGAGTCGTCCTCGGCATCGGGCTGTCCAACACCTACAGAGACAACAGCCCGACGGCGCTCATCGTGGTGGGGCTGCTGAACGCCGCCTCCGCGGGGCTGCTCAACTACACGGCCATGGTGGATCTCCTGGCCAACGACTTCATGGGGCCAAAGCTACAAGGCAGCTTCAAGCTTCAACTCTGGGCTTACGTAGCGGTGCTGTTGGGCGCCGGCGGCATGTCTCTCATGGCCAAATGGGCCTGAAGCGTGCATGTCTCCTCACCTCATCAATCCATGCATGCGTGCTTCTCTCTTTAGGAATATTAAACAGCTTACATAAATCTCTATGTATTCTTTTTCTCTCATTTTTCTTCTCTGTATTGTCGTAGTATTCAATTAAAGTAGATTGCTCAGTTCTTGGAGAAAAAAGCGCCTGATATGGTATTTTTCCTCACATTTTATCTTTTGTTAGTTTCAATGTGGAAGTATGGAATAAATATACCTTATTCTAATTTATGTTTGTAATATATATACATATAGTCACATCTAAGTTTTGGATCGACTAATGCTATTACATAGCAAAAAACTCACCAAATTTAAGTCCATATAGGTAGGGTGAAGCAAATTATTTTGCTATTATACCTCCAATTTATCCAATTATATATTTGGATCTTTAAAACAAAATTTTTTGAGACCATAAACACAAATATTTTTTACCATAAAATAATAACCAAAATGATGTTATTTGTGTATATATTCCAAACATAAATTAGATTATTTATTTTTGAATAAAAACTAAAGAATTAAATCTCTCTTTGAAATTAAAGAAATCTTTTATATACCTTCCTACATTTATTCCAAAATAACATTTTTTTTTCTCGACATCTCTAGAAGAAAAGGCGATATAAATAAAGTATGCCTCCTCCATGCATTCTCATATCAAACTTTGAAACGTATAGGGTATGTGTAGAGTAATAAATCCTTAATGTTCGAGGATTTCTTTTGATAACTGGATTTCTTATCCTCCGAGAAGTTTGATTCCTCAAACATTTTTAATGTTATATAGAATTGCTGTTGATAAATTAGAAGTTCAGTGGACCTTCGGAAAGCTCTCGCACGGTCTGTAGGAAATAAATTGGAGATCGAAAGCGAGGCATAAATAGCTGATGTTAGAATATGTGTGACGACATAAAACAATTCAAGTAGAGAAGGCCAAAACACCGGTCCTCCTTTTGGAACACAGGCAGGCGGTAAACAAAGTAAATGTGGTCCGAAAGGGTTGCTGCGGTCGATCATGACATGCCAATCATGCATAACTTCGATGAAACAGCAGCCCAAGTCAAAGAGTCCCACAACCAACCTCCTCATCCTATTGCTGCTCTCTTCAAAGTCCGTAGAGTGTGACTTGATCGCGCACAAGAAGATCTACGGCACTTGTATTTCCTGGACTGCACTGCAGCTACGAAGCATCAATCTATGTGTTGGATCAGTAGCTGCATCGGTTTCCTTCTTGTATGTATCAGCAAGACTTCATATGAATGAAGTCATCAACAGTGGTGTTGGTCCAGGGCTGCTGATGGCCACCCTGCTACCAGTCATCACGTATCGGTTCTTCTCATCCTTGCAGTTTTCCTCGTGTTGACCAAACATTTGATGCACATTTATTGCTTGTTAATGAGGCATTTATTTCGACCAGAGGAATGAGTTGCAGGTTTCTTCGAGAGTGGAACACTACTACTTCCTTCTTTTTACTGCTCTCCCTCATCGCTTATTCACTCACCATTATAGAGAAACGAGAAGTATGTTTCTCAAAAGAACAGTAGACAAACGATGAAGGCTTCATGTTTCATTTAGTCGGCCATCATCAGAAAAAGACAGCATGAATAAACAACGTCTTTATATGGTCAGAAAGAGAAGATCGCTTATTCAACCAAGAGACTATTCTTCCTGATCAAACAAAGCACACGATTCCATGCCTATCTGAGTGAGTGCATGGCTGGCTGCCCAATTCAATGAGTCGAAGCTGATTTATGATCGGTTAAATGAATATTTTTTTTCATCCGACAACAAGTCCATGAGAATCTTTTACCATCCAGCAAGTCAAAGTCAGATTCTACATCGGCTACCATTTCTCCTGAGAAATCAGAAAGATTAGCAGCCACAGCACATGTTCAGATCCATGCTGATGGAACACAGTTGAATTACAAATTTGCACTATGAATTATTGTTCTTAGGTACATGCTCGATAGCCACATTCAACATTTCCTACTTTGACAGCTATCATTTGTGGACATTAATTTATTGGAATTCTTCCCTATTTTCTGGACCAAGTCTGATAGAAGCTGCATGAGACGTCATGAACACAAAAGCAGGTATCAGAATAAAACCATTTCATTAGGTTATAATGTGGATTGTCCGGGGAGTCACTTGCTGTGCCTTTGACTATGGATTACTTGAAGCAAACTCTTCAAACTTTGCTTTCCTTGTTTAATGGAGAAACACAAATAAGATGGCAGAATGAGTTTTGAATATTACGGCATGACTAGGTAGATATGGTTTTGATTTGGTTGGTACGAGTTTCTCTTATGATTGATGTGAGATATTAGCAATCTCGATCATCTGCAGGTGATAATTCTTCTACCATCCGGACTTAATTTGTGATTCAACTCATGAAATAAACACCAGACGTGAAATCGAGAGAGAGAGAGAGAGAGAGAGAGAGAGATACAATATTCGAACTCATCACCTAATATGAC